ATTACACTGTACTTACAATATACTTCACTATTACACTGTACTTACAATATACTTCACTATTACACTGTACTTACAATCTACTTCACTATTACACTATACTTACAATATACTTCACTATTACACTGTACTTACAATCTACTTCACTATTACACTGTACTTACAATAAACTTCACTATTACACTGTACTTACAGTAAACTTCACTATTACACTGTACTTACAATATACTTCACTATTACACTGTACTTACAATATACTTAACTATTACACTGTACTTACAATCTACTTCACTATTACACTGTACTTACAATGTACTTGACTATTACACTATATTTATGATCTACTTGACTATTACACTGTACTTATGATATACTTCACTGTTACACTGTACTTACAATATACTTCACTATTACACTGTACTTATGATATACTTCACTATTACACTGTACTTACAGTAAACTTCACTATTACATTATACTTACAATATAGTTCACTATTACATTATACTTACAATATAGTTCACTATTACACTGTACTTACAGTAAACTTCACTATTACACTGTACTTACAATATAATCCACTATCACACTGTACTTACAGCATAATTCACTATTGCACTCTACTTACAATATACTTCACTATCACACTATATTCACCATATACTTCACTACTACCTCATACTTATACTTCACTATTATACTACACTTACATTATACTTCAATATTACACGATACATACATCATTTACTATACATTTACTATAATTTCATACCTTGATTTACATTTACACTGTAATTTATGCATCAAAATTCCATAAATGTGTCATGGCATGCAACCTTTTGCACTTTACTTCAAAAGGCATTGCACTATCCTATTTATAATTTGAATAAACTGCCAGATCAGATGATACACTCAATATCTCAATGTTTACTGGCACTTATTTTATATTACCTATGTGGCATTATTATTAATATTAATTTGTTTTTTTATTGTGACTAAAAATGCAATGCTTGACTATGGTTTTTAGCATATTTACCAGATTATTTACCACTTTATTGAAATAGACTGAAATAAAGAGTGTGGTCAGACGTTTTGAGAGTTAAATGCACCTCGTTTACGTAATGAGCCATGCACTTTTATTTTCTTCGCTCGCTCCAGAACAGTGATGTGTGAAGTGTGTGAATAGCGCTGATTTCTCTCTGTGATATCCGTATCTCTGTGTAAATCCAAAAACCTGACTCCGCTCACGTCGTGTCGACCCTTATGCGCTTTACATACTCCCTATCCCCTTTTATTGCAAATTATCGAGGTTTTTTATTGCTATTCATAAAACGAGGAGCATCTTTCCTTTTTTGGGGCCGATTTATGGTGGCGCTTTTGGCGCAATTTCCGATACTCAAGTTTTATTTCCTGACAATCACATTAGCATGCTATTATGTGACTTGAAGGATTTTTTTTTTCTTCGCCTCCTTTTCACTTGACTGCGAGGACCTTTCAGATGGAGTCGTGAAGGAGGGACGGAGAGACAAAGCCCTCCAGCTGCATGCACTTTGGCTTCATGCAGTGCCCGGGCAGAGCTGGGGGTGTTGGGGAAGGGACACACACACACACACACACACACACACACACACACACACACACATATACACACAGATTTAGGATGAAGGCTTTCACTAACCGCATTCACACCTGAACAATGCTCCTTATTAGCACCAGTCGTTCTTCATAGTGTACATTTAATACGATTTCAAATATCTATTGATCAGGCACAAGCTTTGGAAATTGTTTTGTCATTGGCAACATCATACTCATGTTTGGCCCTGATCCATCTCCCAATCTAAATATAAATTGACTACATTTATACCACGGCGCTGTTGAATTCTCACATCTCACAGAAGGTGTTGATTTATTTTCTATTACAGAGGCTCTGACAGTAGTGTCAGCTGTAATACGATATTGTTTCTGTTGTAAGCAGACATTCTACGTAAATGGATTATAAATGTGCGGAATTGCTGATATAGTGATGCTTTCTCTAAAGAGGTCTTTATTTAATATTTTTGGAAGGAGTCTCCAGTGTCAGAGCTTTGTACCAGTCAGCTGTGTGTACTTTGAGGTTTCTCGCTAACATAAAAATCTGTAGCGTTATTGTCTTCTTAACTTCAGGAGAGAGGAAAAGATACACTGGCGGGGGAACAATGTAAGTGAAAACAGCAGCTAACTTGCTTCCACAACTTTAAATGTAACTATAAATGGATAAAGGGTACAACGTGGTGCTCTTTAATAAAAAAAAAAAAAAAATGCACTCATCAAATTTCTGCAGTATCTAAGGAATAAAACACTACTTTAGGGTGTAGTTACACTGCTTCATCACACTAGAGCATCACTGATTAATTTCCTATAACAGCACACCCAAAGTGTTTTATTTCTTTCCTCCTTTACACCAGTAGAGACACACATACGCTCTTGCAGATCATGTTTCTGTTACACAATTCAGTCACACACAAGAAGAAATTGCCATCGAAGGTGTAAATGAACGTGAGAGGCAACCTGTCGTCTCGTCTGGTTTGCAACAGCATATCTCTTTGTTAGGGAACTCATTGTGGTCGGTAACACCTTTTTTATTTATTTACAAATTAAATTAAAACACACACACACACAGATATGTGTTACTGTAAGATTTACATGTCTGGCTCAAGGACACAACCACAACTGAGCCTCTATTAATAGCACAACTAACTTACATCGATTCAACCACTTCTACCACTGAATTAACAGTGAAGCGATGTAAGATAGTTGAGATAATTGTGGAAGCTCAGTGGTTAAGGCTTTGAGTTACACATCAGAAGGTTGTGTGTTCAAATCCCAACACTACCAAATTGCCACGGCTGTGTCCTTGAGCAAGACCTTTAACCTTCAGCTGAAGTAGCCATCCTACTTCAATTGTACTGTAAGTCACTTTGTTTAAAAGAATGAGCAAATGTACTGGATTATGTGTTATTTTATACTATGTAAGATATTACAGCACTAAATATGTTTACAGTAAATTTTTTATAGTACACTAATTACTGTAAAACTCAGTCAATTTTTTTTTTATTTTATCTATTTTTTTTTTTACAGTACACCATTTGTACACTTTCCCTTCATTATGAAAGCACCCAGTCTAATATCGGATCTCTTTCAGCTGATATGTGTGTGTGTGTGTGTGTGTGGGTTTGACTTCACGGTTCATGTGCAGTCCCTCGGGCTCTCTGGCCTCGTCCTGTAGGCATGTCCATGCACGTCTGTGTTTAGTCTCTGTTTTTGCAAGCAGGATCCCGAGGAATGCTGGGTTAATGCTGCCTCGGAGCCACCCTGTGTTCCACATCGCCTCGCCATCAGGGAGGATATCACTTATAACCCGACTGATGAAAGCAGCACCCCCATCTCACGGCATTAACTTGTTTATCTTTAACAGAAGAAGAAGAAGTAGAAGATGAAGAAAAAGAAAAAAAAAAAAAACTTTCAAGCTCCATTGCTCATTCTGCGCGAGAGAGATAGACGGGGAGACACGAAAAAACAAAAGGCAGCCAGTGAAATTTGCATGGTGCTCAATTATACATTAGCGAACATCACTTGGCAATCTGTTCATATCAATTTAATTGGATTTTAATACTGCCTCTGATCTTGTTTTCTAATTAACAGCAGCGGCTGGCAATAAAGCAGAACCATGCACCCAGCAACACCTTTGATCCTGGCCATATGGAGTTCCTTAGAGCTCATTGGGAAAAAAAAAAAAAATCAGTCACCTAAATATGGGCCCATGACAAACGTAGCGGAAAGAAGGAAGGAGGAGGGTGATGTAGGCAGGAGTGGGCGCCCAGGAGCGAGGAGGAGTGAGCAGAGTGTGCCGGGGCTCGAGCGGTGGATAAGTGTGACCCCCAGATGGCCGGATATCGCTGCTGCTCGCGCCTTCATTGATTAATTTCTCCCCTGATTGGTCGTGATTACTGATAAATAAAACATGATCTCGGAATCGGATGCAAATCAGCTCCCGAGCTTTAGGGAAATGTTGATTGCTTTTTCAAATCTGTTTATCTCTCCTCTCGTTGCCCTCGACTCTGTATTTGACGTGGGACTACGGAGATGGGATTTTTTTCTTCTCCCCCTCTACCCTCTCTTACTTTCATGCTGTAAGTGGGGATTTGGAGGCTCTGCGGCTGCACGGAGAGCAACGGGAAGAGCTCAATCTTTTGACCGTCAGATCTGGAGCAAATCAAACACTTGGGCCGCAGGAGGGATGTTGCTAACAGTGTAAACACAGCCAAGCTAATGCTTGATGTTTGATAATATGAGGCAGCATATACTGCACTGGTGTACAAGATTTTTTGACTTCCTTATTTATTTCAATGTTGAGCTGATGAAGGTTAGAAGAAAATGATGACCTAATATATAAACTTTTGCTTTTGTAGTGGCCTGGGTTTAAATATGTTTCTCTTTTTCATGTATCTCAACCACAAGTAAAGTTACGTAGGGCATGATATGATGAAGTGAAGTTATTGTTACTATGTCAAAGTGAATTATTTTCCTATAAAAGCACGTCCCGAAGTGTCCCGAAGTAAATATCACTTACGTTATAGAAGTCAATCCTTCACCAGCCTCTCTTTTTTTTTCTCTCTTCTGGGGTTAATAAGACAAAAAAAAGAGCTCGTCATATAACTGGAAACTGGAAAGCTTACTTTCCAGTACTGACACTGGAGAATCCTTCCATAAATGTTAAATAAACTTCTCCTTACACAAATCCATCCATTTCCCACGCAGGATTGTGGGGAGTCTGGAGCTTATCCCAGGGGACTCAGGGCACACCCTGGACAGGGGGCCAGCCCATCACAGGACACACACATTACAGACAATTTAGAGATGCCAATCATTCTACAACATATGTCTTTGGACTGGGGGAGAAAACTGGAGTAACCAAAGGAAACCCCCGAAGCATGGGGAGAACATGCAAAGTCCACACACACACAGGGTGGATGTGGGATTCAAACCCCCAACCCTATAGGTGTGAGGCAAACATGCTAACCACTAAGCCACCATGATTATATCAATGATTATATCAATGATTCTATGATGAATCTTTACACTCAAAGTGAGAAAAATCACATTTAACGATCTCATTCTAATTCCACTGAAAGACACCACGTTTACCTCTACATTTACCTCTACATTTATAGCCTAATCCACTTATAGAAAAACAACATTACTGCCAAATTTGAAAGAATTGTAATTTAAGTTTATGTAGTGGAAAATGAGTTTTCATGAGATTTTGAGTACCAGCATCAGTCTCTGTCTCACCACCTGAGGTAAACGTCACTCGCAGTGTTTAAACACGAGCCTCGTCATCATCTCTCCACTCTCTGATCTCTGTTCATCGCTGGGGAAATAATCGCTGATTATTTATCCTGAGATCTGTTCAGTTGGCTAACTTTCTTATTATTAGTTCACTGACATTTAAAACTTTGTCCACTGTCATCTGTACAGAGTGTGTAAGCTCTCTCCTCTTTTTTGATGATGATGTGAAGGTGCAGGAGCATCACGGCCATTTTGACAGCTGGAATCTGATTACAAGCTGAAATTGATCAGGCTTATGGCCATTTTGCTATGGCCACTTGCAAGAACTTGATCAAAGCTGTGACATTAACTGTGTGAGGAAATCATACTTAGCTAGCGACAGGCTAGCTATAATTTTTACCACCACGTTTGTTAAATACAACAAGATTTAAACATAGCCTAAATAAAAACATTTCCACCATGTTTGGGTGAAATGTATTTATGTTTTCTAAATACAATGTATAGTAATAACAGATTTTTTTTTGTTGCCAGAATTCAGCTGCAGTGACATCTGATGGGTTTTCGCAGGCTGCCACACACACACGTATGCGTATATAAATTTCAAATTAATGAAGCCTTATAGAACTTAGCTTCATATTTTCCCTTTTTGAAAGGAACCACAGGATTTATACAGGCTTTATCTAGATTCTCCTCCTTCCCCACTAATTAAAGACATTTCCGAGGCTACGCCACCAACCGATCGTCAGTCATTGCCAATATTCAAACCTCCGAGAGTCGAGCAGCAGCGTTCAGGCCCCACCTCAACACTTAGCTTCCTAATTGTTATTAATGCCCCTGATCGAAGCGCTCACATGCATTAACGTGTGTGTATGTGGAGGAAAGAGAGAGCGAGGATGCCAGCACTGAAGTCTCCTCATATATTCCTCCATCACTCTGCAACAAACAATTGAGGGGGAAAAAAAAATCTGAAAAGAAAGGGATGAACAGAGGAGGAGAAGGAGGAGGAGAGCGATCTGCCGTGCATCACGCGGTCCGCGGAGGAATTAGCGAGCATGGTTGATTCACCGTCCCCTGGAAGCGGGGGTGTTAATTTGGAAATCTAGGACTGGTATGCAGAGAATGCTAATTTGTAATTAGGCAGATTAACTAAATCTGGGGAATAGAGAAGATTATTGACTTATATAATAAAATCAACAATGCGGCCCCGGTTAAATAATCACGGGCTAAAATCATACATTGCAAATGCGCTCGCTCGGGCAGGTTAGTGAAGCCCTGCCAGCGACGAGGCTTTGATCTTTGCCATCCGAAAATAATCAAATGAAATGAGACAATTTCTCTATTGAAGTTGAAGCACATATTTAGGATGGTGTTTAGATGGATTTGAAGGGGATTTTTAACATTTTCTTTGGGAAGGCCGTAATGTTCCAGACGTTTTGTTCACTTTGAATTTGCTTTGCAATTCTCCACATCAGAAAGATGAGCAATTAATAATAAATTTGTGAAATTATTAATAGACAGGGAAGGCACATAGCAGTTGGAAATGGAAATGGCTAAACACGAGAGTGGTATAAACTTAACATCGTGGAACATCAACGAAACAACGTGAATGATGTGAATGACTGAAGCCCCATCCCTATTGGTTTGCTATTGGGCTATTGGTCATGAGTCATAAATCAGAAGATCGGACCATTTAAAGTCTAAACTGAAGGTCTAACACTGTGTTGTAGATGATGTCACATAATGGCTCCCATAATGGCGCTTTTTGGGAGGGATATATATATATATATATATATATATATATATATATATATATATATATATACACACACACCATTTTTGGTGTATTGCTTACTGAGGAGTGTGTAGTCTAATCACTCAGTCAACTCAAAGAAATATGCAAATGTCCAAATTCTACCAAGTGACCAAACAACAGCACAGAAAACCTTGTTTCCAGTGATGAAATGGTTGCCAGCTGCATTGTCTAGAACTTCTATCCACAGATGAGGATCCCTGATGTGATTTCAATGAGCATCCTTACACCGCTGGACTTCAGTAAGGTTCTCTCGAATGTTTTTGTCATTCAGAAGACTGGAGGACGCAAAACATCTGTAGTTATGAAGTTTATGTCACTTATGAAGTTTCCTCTCGTCTGAGTTTTTGATTGTTTCCCAAATCCTTCTCCTTTAGATAGCCTCCATACAGAGACAGCTAGTAAAATTGAGATAAGTACACAACAATCTCAGTTACAACCACAAATACACTCAGAACCTCATTTTTAAACCTATGCATAAATCTACATCCAAATGTGAAATTTGTCCTCAATTGATCATACACAGGTACTGGCAACATTAGAGTCATGAAATTGGCTATTTTACATGATGGGATGACTACTGGAGGAAAAAAAAAACTCTTTCAAAAACAAGCAGATCACTGGGCATGATTACTTTCCATGATACTATGATGATATATCACGAAAACTGAACATAAAGAAAATTTGCAGACCAAGTAACTGATATTCTATACCCTTATTGTTTCCCTTCAAAAAAAAGGCATTCAAAACTACTTTCTGCACATTTCACACTTTCTTAGGCTCTGCAAATGCTGTCTCTTGCTAAAAATTCAAGTTTAGACCTATGCAGTACCTTTAGCAATAATAATAATAATAATAATAATAATAATAATAATAATAATAATCCTGTACTTTAGTAAAGAATTATGACAGATGTGTTGTAATACAAATGAGTGGTGTCCACTGATTAAATGCAGTTTTTCTGCACTGTGAAGAGGGAAAACCCAGATATTCACATAACTTGTGATGAATGACAGATTTCTTCATGAAAAATAGATTTTGGGTTTAAAATTCAATTAAGCTGCTTTATTTTAGGGGTTTAGTGAAGGTGGGTCATTTCCGACCTTAAGGACAAGGAAAGTATACATAATTTTAAGTCTGCACAGGGGTTAACTTTAGCATGAAGGTATTTATATCCATACTATCTATATATCTATACTGAAAAGATAAATGAATGACCAAATAACCTGCTGAACATTCTGCCAAACCTCTCACTATAAAAAAAAAACTATCATAAAATATAACACAAACCACCGGTACAGCTAAAGAACAGTTTTATAGTTTGGTCTCGAAGTATAGCAAAATAGGTCTAGCCTTATGGATAGTAGAGTAATCTGCATAAATCCTAAAAATAACTTAATCTAGACTCCTAAAGATTTTTTGGCTTGTTCATCAGGGGACACCTTTCAATGTTCTATTTAGAATCCTTCAACAGAGTGTTTGCCTTTCAAGAGAGTTCCTACAGTATATGAACCCTATCCAAAGAACTATCCAAGCCTTTGAAGAACCAACCCTTGAGAAACCCTTTTACCTAAGAGTGTACAAGAGGGATAGCAGGGTAAAGAGATGTACATTAACCTCATAATCATGGCAATGTCCAATCAATTACATCCCAACCCTTGTCCTGGAGAATCCCTGTCCTGCACATTTTAGTGTTTTCCCTGCCCCCAACATGCGTGATTCAACTAATCAACTAATTAACAGTCCTTCCTGAGGTGGAGTTGGTGTGTTAGAGCAGGGAAAAGTACTACAAGGTACAGGATAGGGCTTCTCCAGGACCAGGGCCGGGACTCTGAGAGTTACACTGCAAAGTAGAGTCAGTGATCGAAATCATACAGTATCTAGGATGGGACATAGGAAATTCCTAAGTAATGCTTCTTGTCCTATCCTTATCTTGATCTGGGTAATGGTGGTTACACTGGGTGGGAATACACCCTGGATGAGATGCCAGTCCATCGCAGGGCACCATGGAGACAGCTTCACACCCTAGCACAGTCAGCATTTTTTTGGGAAGTGGGATTAAACCAGAGAACCAGGAGAACAATCCAAGGACACAGGGAGAACATGCAAAACTCTACACAGACAGTTACCTGAGCTCAGGATTGAACCAGAGACCCTGGAGCTGTGAGGTGGCAACACTAGCCCCTGCACCACCATCAAAAATAATTAAGAACACCACTTTGTAGAAATCTGTAAATCTATATCTAGATGCCTAACGAGCAATTAAGAGGCAACAGTGGTGAGGAAAAAATGATATAAGGAAGAAACCTTGAGAGAAACTCTACTCCAAAGGGAACCCCGTCCTCTTCTGAGCAATAGTGGGCTACTGATAATTAAGTTCCCATGTTCATAAGCACTATGCGATTCCACCTGGATGTTCATGGACTGCATGCCCATGTGTGAGTGCACTTGCCTGGGTTGCAGCATTAGCACTAGCTGGAAGTGCTCACTAGTCCTGAGCCCTTTGCAATGAGATTGACTGACTGGCTACTCAGTCGGTCGGAAGGTCAGACCTGATTCGTGTTGAGACGTGAACTTATAACCTCCGAATACAAGGCTGGTCTCAGAAGATCAGGTCCAGGGATTTTTATCTCTTCCACTTCCACTCCATTCAAGCTTGGCTCGATCTGTGTCTCATTGAACTCTCCACCTTAATCCTCCAGGCCCATTTAAAAAACCCATCCACACCTCTTCCATCCAAGACGCAAGCGAGTCTGTTTGTAAGAAGATGCAGCTGCCTCCCCTTACCCCATCCTTCACTTGCTCTCCTTCCATCCCCCCCTGTCCTTTTATCAATGAATATGCTACTCTTGACACTAAAGACTTCACATCAAATGGGCTTGGGAATCCATTCCGCACCGCAACTGCCCATTTGTTTTCAAAGCAGAGGACGT